AATATAAAACTTTAGTAACCTCAGAGAAATTAAAGATTATATTAGCAACCACAAAACTGAATAGGATGCCATTTTAAAATAAAAAGAACCAGAGCAAGCACAGAGAAGCAAAAACTATGTTTGGAAAGAAAACTGGAGGGCTTGAAGATAAAGTCAATACCTTCTCACTGAAAGCAAAAAGTCAAGGAGATAGAAAATGTAAGAGAAAAAGGAGGCAATTTAAGAGCCCAGTATCCAACTTGTAAGTGTTGAAGAAAGAACAAACAAATCAGAAGAAATAATTTGAGAAAACTTTTTAGAACTGAAGTGCGACAGAAATCTTCACATTAAAAAGGCTTACTTAATGCTAGTTAGGCTGAATGAAAGGTCTACAAATAAAGCATAATTGCGATATTTCAGAACATTGTGGAGAAAGATAAAATTGTAAATGCTTACAAAGAACAAAAATAAAAAATTGCAATAGTCTTTTTGTGAGCAAAGTTGGATGCTAAAAGTCAATGGATTTAAAATTCCAGGGGGAAGCCAGGTGCAGTGGTTTGTGCCTGTAATCCCAGCTACTTGGAAGGATGAGAAGGCAGGATCGCTTGAGCCCAAGAGTTCAAGGCTGCGGTGAGCTGTGATCTCACACCTGCACTCCAGCCTGGGTGACAGAGTGAGACCCTGTCCCCAAAACTAGTAATAAAAAATAAAATTCCAAGGGAAAAATGATTTTCAACTTTATGTTCTATGCCCAGCCAAACTACTAAGTATGAAAGTAATATAAAGATAACCTTAATACATTCAAAGATTCAGACAATTTTATTCTCACACATCCTTTCTTAGGCAGTTGCTTGAAACTGATCACCAGTAAAACAAGAAAGAAAAAGCCCAAGAATCCATTTGTAGTAGATTCAGCCCAGGAACTTAAAGAAAGTTCAAAGATAACAGTTATAGGGCAGGTCTAGATTGCATTAGGAGGCAGATATAGGGCTCAAGGAAGGAGGCATCTGTGAGAGGGGAATAAATGGATGAGGCATTCCCATGTATTTGCTTTTACCCTTGAACTATTGAGTGAACTTAAACAAACAAGGTAGATATTGCTAGACTAATAGGAAAGCTGCAAAACTTGAGGGGAAGCAATATGCTGCTCGAGAAAGAAAATCATTCCACTTGATTCTGCATTAAAAATATTTTTACCTTCTCTATATCTCACATCAGTCTATTCTCTGTAACTCTACCTCCACCACCACTCTGGAGTTACCATCATTTCTGCTTAGACTTCTACTGGTTTTCTTGCATCCTTTCTGTCTTATCTCAAATCTATTCTCCATATTACACTCTACATAGTGATGTTTTTTCAAAATGCAAATCTGATTATGCCCTCTCTTTGGTTAACACACTTCAGTGGCTTCCCATAGCTCTTCGAATCTAAATCATTAGCATCCCCTAGAAGGTTCTATATGGTCACATGGTCAGCCAGTCCCTAAGCAGCAATGCAGTGGTAGCTGCTATGTAGTCTTGCCTCACTTTTGTAGATTTGGCTGGTAAGGACACCCTGATGGATTGAAACAGTTTTATTACTTACACAGATGGCAAAGCAAGATCAGCATGGTATTAGCTGCTTATATCCCCAATTCCACAGGATGATACCAAACTAGAGGGGTCAGATGACAGACAACATGAGTGGTGAGTTGCTTTGTTTTTGAGAAGTGAACTCTAGGCTGCAGCTAAGCAGTTTTATCTGAAAGGGACAAAGTGGAAAGTTCCATGCCTTAGTGGAATCAGGGAGGCAGATGAGAAACTGCCTCATGGCAAGTCTTCTGCAAGATCGGGGGTTTTCTGCAAGGTATGGAGCAAATGTGAAATGGCCTTTGATAGCTCCTCACAAGACTGCCTATCTTGCCATTTTTAAGGATGATCACAGGGCATTCTGCCAACAGTCGAGTCTTACCTACATGGCCTATATGGAGACATGCAATTGCCATGGTGCCATGGTGGAACTGTTCCCCTGCTAACATAGGCTCCCTTTACTACCACTATAGTCTCATCTTATGTACTTTCTCATATTTGCTAGCATCAGTCATACTGACCTTTCAGTTTCTCCAATGTGCCATGCTTTTCCTTGTCATAGAGCTTTAGCATATGCTGTGCCCTCTGCCTGAACCCCACTTTCTCCTCACTCTTTGCCTTCTTAACTTCCCTTCTTTCTTCGATACTCAGCCCAACATTCCTGACCAGAACAGCTCCACCTCTTATCACATAGCATGATGTACCTCTCCTTCACAGCATTCAGAACAATTTTAGTTTTAAATTTATTTGTATAATCTTGAATTGATGTAATAGTAGAGATAGTGGGGATAATACATACATTAATATATTTATTGCTTAATTGTCAAATGTTTTTACATACTTAATTACATTTTATTTTTACATCTCTGTGAGATAAACAGATATTATTTTAAATCTTTTTTCCTAAATAAGAGCCTATATTAGAGCTCATTTTAAATTCTATTTTAGTGTTCCCTGTACTTCATCACTATGTTTTTTCTGTAAATACATTAAATATAATGCAGCATACAGTAAGCAGTAAGCACAGAGAAAATGCCACAGTGGCCCAAAGGAGAGGGAAATCAGATCAGGTGATCACCATAGACCTCCAACACAGAGGTCCCATTTGAGTCAGACTTGCAGGTTGATAGGCAGCTGTTGGGCAAGGAAGTGAGGGTCTTCTAAGACAAGAGATAATATCAAAGCTACAGTTATAGAAAGGCATGGGACTATTTGAAGAATGGCAGTTGAATGTGTTTTGATGGATGTAGGGTCCCAGGAAGGGAAGCTGGAATTGGATCGTGCAGGGCCTTGAAGATGGAATTGATTTTGTTTGCAGTAGGAAGTAACTCACGTTTCTAAGTGGGCAAATTGATCTGATCAGCATTGAACTTTAAAAGCATTAAATAGGCAACAATGTGTAGAATAAATTGTAGCATGGAGGACTGGATTCAAGAAACCAGTTCTAATCTAAGTGAGAGGTAACGGGATCATGACTTGGGACAAAACACCTGAAGCAGTAAGTCATGACACACCTTACAAAGTTTAATGTCAAAGCCTTTCAGTCAGTGCCTAAGAGGAACACACTTGTGTTTGAGGAACGTTAGGTCTATTTAATGTACTGCAGCAAAGGAGAGATCCATAGCAACAGAACTGTGGGTCATCTCAGGGAGCCGGGAGGATTTTCTTCTTATAGGATTTCAGAATCTTATTATAGGATTTCAGCTTGTGCTGGGTGACTCTTAGAAAGGTTTAGGGAAAGCAGAGGTCAGTTCTAGATTGGATGCCCTCAGGAAGTGAGATATTGGGTATTTTGGTACATTTTATTTTGGAAATGAGAGGATTTAAAAAATAGTAGTCATCTGTGTTAGCCAGAAGAGGGGGATGTTTCATTATTTTTTATGGTTCTTGAGAATTCTTTTCTCTAGTTTTAGAAATATTTATATGGTAGTCTTATCTCTGTCTTCTTCTACTATGGTCACAGAGTGGCCTTATCTGGGTATTTATATTCTCAAAATTGTTTGCTCAATTGGGAATACTGTGGTTTAGCTGTCAGCTTCCAGCTGCCAGGTGTTTTCTTTTTACTTCATCAGTACCCAATACATTGATCTGTTCAGCCCTAAAGACCAGCCATTGCCTCATATGTTGAGCAGCCTCATCCATTTACCCTAGGCTGCAGTATGTATATTATCACTGTCTAGATGTGCCATGACTTGGAAAAGCTTGATTGAACGATGGTGCTGAAAATGAAGAGTAAAGGACCAAGAAATGTTGTAAAGGTTTTCAAGCTCTCCACTATCTCCAACATTTCTGGGTCACTTAAAATCTATGCTCCAGCAAAAATAAGCTGATTTCAGCTCTTACAATCTGTGATTTGCTGCCTTTGGGTATTATGCCCTCCATCTGGAATATCTTCCTTTGGTCTCATTCTCATGTTCATATTTCTGTCTGTCCTTCAAGGACCAGTTCAAACATCTCTCTCCTTCCCTGTGCTACTAGTGAGAGCTAAGATCAAGAAAAACTGATTTAAAATATAATAAATGAAGAATAAACTATATATTTGGATATGTTAATTCTAAGGGGAGTCAAGATGGAAATAATCTCTCTTTTCTGTGAATTCATATAGCAAATTTATTAGATCCCTAAAGCATTTATTTCCAATATTTATTAAGTATGTATTACATCCTGTTTACTAACTTCTGTCAGCAGTACCATCAAAATGCCATGATGTTTGCTTCTTTCCAGGTTTTTCAGGCTTAAGTACAAAGCAGCAGAAGTGTTTTTAAACTCCACCCTCATTCTTACCTCATTTAGTATAAAAGTTACTGATATGTGGCCAGATTTGACCCTATTAACATTATATATATAATGTTTTATATATATATACACACATACATACATAGAAAATATATACCATGCAGGTTGAGAGTATTAAACTATATATATATGTCTGTGTGTGTCTATATATATAGTCTATATATATATAGTGTCTGTGTATATATACACACGCGCGCACGCACACACACACACACACACACACACACACACACAACCAGGGAGGTCGAGAGAAGCTTGTAGGTGGCTCAGTGTTTCTTGTTGGGACTAATAGTGGGGCAGGGACTAACTTATCGAAAATATGTTTTAAAAATTACCAGGCATGGTGGTAATTGCCTGTAGTCCCAGTTACTTGGAAGGCTGAAGCAGCAGGATCTCTTGAGCCGAGGAGATTGAGACTGTAGTACTAATTATCATGCCTGTGAATAGCCACGGCACTCCAGCCTAGGCAACATAGCAAGACCCCATCTCTTTATTTAAAAAAAAAAATTACGTGGATTACAAAACACTTGAGGAAGTATAAAAATCAATATTTTTGTATTGTCTGAAAGGAAGGAAACTGGATAAAAATTAATTATATTGAATTAACAATAATAAATGCACTGACAAATAGGTTTGTTTTTCCTATATTAATTTAGGAATGACTGCCAGCAAAAAACCTGGGAACCGAGAATGCCCTTGTAAAAGTAAACATACATGTGGACATAACTGCTGTGAGTTCCTTAAAACAAGTTTATTTCAAGTGTTCAGAATTGAAAGGTCTTTGGTGGATAGTAATGACATCCTAATTATCTATGTATGATATTTATATTATGCAACTTAATAACTCAAATAATTTTCTCTCTTTTGTGGGCAACATAAAAAGGTAAATACTAGATTCGAAAATTTAAAGAAATTTGACTTTATAAGAATAAAATCTGAAGTTTAACCTAAAGAATCTGAAGCTTCTTTTCATAGGTAAAATTGGAATTGCACAGAAGTCAGAAATTAAAGAGTCAACAATTTCTTCATATTTATCTGATTTAAGAAACAGGAATGCTGTTTCATCTGTTCCTACAGTTAAACGTCTGAAGGTTAGTTTTAATAACATTTTCCCTTTGTTCTGTAATTTAATGTATATAAATATTCTTTGTTCTGCCTATCAATTAGGTAGGTATCCACAGTGTACTTTAGAATTACTTGTGGACTTGACTAAGAATATTACCATTATTCACAATCCATCTTCTCTTTCTTCCTTCCTTTTTTTTTTCTAAATCTTTCTTCTTTCCTTTCATCTTCATTAAGCACCAAGAATATGCCAAAGTGCTAAGATATAGTGATGAATAAGACAGTCTTATTCCTAATCATAGAATTTGTAGTTGAGTGAGAAATACAAATAAGTAAACATGCTTTTTTAATACAGTGTGATGAGTGATTCTGTGACAGAAGTACAACACACTTAAGTTTAGATAGAAAATGTACTCAATCCACATTTGATGGACTAAGAAAGGATTCCTAATAGATGTGATTGAGACCTGAAGGATAGGCCAAGGATGGAGGGGCAGGCACCAGAATGATAGTAGGAAGAGATAGCTAAATATTCCAGGCATAGAGATTATACAAAGGTCCAGAGGTAATAAAGAAAGAGAGGGAGAGATCTTTAAATAAACTCTTTATCAGTAATACAGTATGTCTAGAGTTCAGTTCCAAGTAAAGGAGTAGAGAGAGATGAGGCTGAAGAGACAAGTAGGAGCTAGATCATGCAGACCTTTTTGCTATTTTAAGGAATTAGACTTTATCATGAAAGTACTGAGAAGCCAATGAAAGGTTTTAACCAGTGACATGATCAAAATTGTATTTTATAAAGGTCACTCTGACTACAATGTAGAAAAGGGATTAAAGGATGATAGAATAGGAACAAAGGGACTCATTAGGTGGTTTTTATAATAATCTAAGCAAAATAATGGCCTAGTTTAGGGTAGTGGCAATAGCAATGGAGAGAAGTGACTAGGTAAAATTATTTTTCAGAGGTAGAATCGCTACCTTGCTACTTCATTGGTTATAAGAGACAAAGTAGAAGGAGCAGTCAAAAATGATGCCCAGCTTTCCGACATTAGCAACTGGGAGAAAAGTAGGGCCTCGTTTGGGTAGATATTCTGAAGGAAAAGCAAGTTTGCTGGAATAGGGAACAGGATAAGTTCAACTTGGGAAACACTGAATTTAGAGGGCCTGCAAGATATCTAGATAAAGATGTCCTACAGACAGTTGGATACAACTGTTTGAAAATCAGGAGAGGGCGCTGAGCTAGAAGTAGAGACTTGAGAGTCATTCACATGTAGATGACAATTGAAACCACAGGAATAAATGAGAACTTTGATTGAGAAAGTGTAGTGTGGGGGGGCAGAGCAAGATGGCCGAATAGGAACAGCTCCAGTCTCCAACTCCCAGTGCGAGCGACACAGAAGACCAGTGATTTTTCATTTTCAACTGAGGTACTGGGTTCATCTCACTAGGGAGTGCCGGACAATCGGTGCTGGTCAGCTGCTGTAGCCCGACCAGCAAGAGGTGAAGCAGGGTGAGGCATCGCCTCACCTGGGAAGCACAAGGGGGAAGGGAATCCCTTTACCTAGCCAGGGGAACTGAGACACACAACACTGGAAAATCGGGTAACTCCCACCCCAATACTGCCCTTTAAGCAAACAGGCACACCAGGAGATTATATCCCACACCTGGCTGGGAGGGTCCCACACCCACGGAGCCTCCCTCATTGCTAGCACAGCAGTCTG